CGTGCCATGGATGGGACCTTTTCTACAGTGGAAGCTTCACTGAATGCCTTTCTCAATCCGTGCTGAGACCTCTGTCTGCCTAACGGATGTGAGAATATTCGCGCTGTTTTCGCTGTACCAAAGTTGGAACATATCATCCTATAGGGTTTTTTTTCTATCGAACGTCATCAAATAGCATGGGCAAGGATCACAGTCCAACGAGCAGCTCCAATGACAAGGTATGTCAACGACACATTTGCCATTTTTCCCTTTCAATGACACCATTCGCCCGATAAGAGCAGATCCGAATGTGCTTTGCTGCTTTTATTGCTATATCGCGTTTCAAAATGGTTAAACTATGACTCATCCTCTTTTCAGAGCAGCTGTGATGATTCACGTGAAAAACTGGTCATTGGATTAACGGCTAACAGTTAAAAATAGCACGGGAAACGAAATTTTGGAAAACATGGAGGTTTGCAATACTATTACGCGCGCTATTCCGCTTCGGAGGGGCATTTTACGCTTCTGCTCATTATTTATGCTTGTTCACCTTCACTAACAAGTTACACTTTGGTAAAACCTCAGACCTGTTAACTCTTGTGAAGCTGAAAAATGGTTCAAGCGAGCCATTTTGGTCACCTGAATTTACAGGTGACCAAAATGGCTCGCTGGTCTTCACAAGATGATCTAAATTAGCTTTGTTAGGTGCTATTCGGCGCCTCCACGGAACCGAACTGCGCCCTTCTACGTGACTGAACTAGCAATTGTACAAATTTCATTCAGGATTACTGCAATAGTACTGTTCTGGGTACTTTGGGCAGGAATGGTGGCTGGTGCTGTGCTTATCATTGTTCTGAAGAATGGAGATGTACCAAAAACAACCACTACTACTGCTGCACCAACAACCACTCATAAATAAATATTAATGAACAATTTTGCTTGTGCTAACACTATTTCACAACTATTAGTTGCAACTACGGAGACGTGGGGTAAAGTGCGCTAGGGAGGGGACAATTGAAGGACTCTCTGAGCAAATTTGGTATTGCAATGGTGTGAAATCCCTTTCTAGGATGGACAACAAAAAACCTCGTCGCCATACGATCAATCAAAAAATTCAATAGGGCAAGTCCCACCGCTGGGGGGGGGGCAAGATTTTGCAATATACGACCCCTCCCTCAGCATTCCCTCCTCATTTCCTCTCCTCCTGTGTACGACCTTTCCCTCAGACGGCCGGGGACGAAGGTGGGGTAAATGCGGGTTAAATAGCGCCACTTAAAACAGGAGCAAACACGAAAAGTTGGCCACGGAAGTTTTTCTATAAGGCAGTATACGAGTTCTCTCCTCTCCCGCATTCACTACAAGACGCCCCTCGCCCGAGATACCGCGCACGACGCGCCCTGATCTTCAATGCCCCTCCTAACTAACTTGCGGGCTAACTGTGGCGATGAACTGAATTGTAAAAAGAAAAAATCAACCTGTCACATACCTTGATGGGCATCATATGGTAAGGACCCTCATTGGATTGGTCGTCGTTGATTCCTTTGGCTGCCTTCCAGGCTCGGTCCTTTAATCATAATCAAGTTAGGTCTTGTACAATAAACAATAGACCCATTTTCGAAGACTTCCCAGTGTTTCCAGATAAGAGCGAATAAATAATATCAGGCGCTTGTCCAGTATAGGTCCGCAGTCGAAAACCTGCTAGGATGCGTTCAAACTTTTCGTTGGCGTTTTGGGCGCAAGGGGAAGCATAGGGATCGATCTAGCGTATGGGCGTTCTGAGCTATGCTCGCGCTTCTTCCAAAACTCTCATAACGATGGCGTTCTCCCAAAACGTTAAACCGATAACACTTTTCGAAATGCTTGAAATGCCGACGAAATGTGTGAACGCACTCACTACGTCTCACGACACATCTATGACGAGAGTTCGAGTCTGATGGCAGACACCAGGGTTTCCGGAGCCCAGTGGGAAAGAGGCTCGGTGTGTGGAACCACTCTTGATGGAACGAGAAATCCTCCTGTTGCGTAAGGGAAGTGGTGCTCCCAACCGGAGTCCAATTCGCATAGGTTTACAGGGAGTTCTAGTCCAGCTGGCATAAAATGCTTGTGAACACACTTTAGAAAAACAACCTCGGAAAGGCAAATGCGCGGACGTAGGTTTTCTCATTCTCAATGGCCAGCACAGCAGGATTGTTTATTCAGGGACGCTAGAGGTCAGTACTCCAACAAGAACACTTCCTACCGCTGGGGACAAGTTCGCAGAATACGGCCCTACCAAGAATTCCTCCTTAGGTACGATCTCCGTCGGACGCAAGAAAAGGGAAAAACCAGAAATTGGCCACAACCGCAATCATATCCGCCTCAAAAAGGTGCACCCCGTCGATCTCGTGAGCGGCTGAATACGCCGCCCCTCGTTGGGCGATCCTCAATCGCACGACTGCCTGGCCATAGGCAAGGTGGTTAATCAAGGCCCCCTGACGGGAAAAAATCAACGAATCATCAAATTCACTCGCGTACAAAAGACCGTCTCTGAACCTAGAATGACAGAACTACGACTATACGCTGTCTCTCCAGGCGTCAGAGATTCAAGAGACGTCGTGAACATGTCCAACCTAGACATATTGAATAAGGCTATATGTCGGTCTAGACTGATGTCAAATAGGATGCGCCATACTGGACCAGCGGCGAAACTTATGCATGGTAACGCTGCTTAGACTCGTTCTTTCTTTAGCAACAGTCTATTTCGGAAAACGTGAGGAAACAAACTAGTTCTGTCCAAAAAAGAGGGACAACGAGCCGGGGGAAGTGGACAAAGGCAAACCAAGAGTAAATCGATATATTTGTTTATTCTAAGAACAGGCAACGCAATGCAAAGAAAGGGGATTTGGTGGGAATGGCTTTTGTTGTCTAAATCGGGAACGTACTGTCGGAAAATGCAACATGGCTCGGCTGAGGGGGGGGGCATGTTGCACATTCCCCACTCCCCGTTGTCGTGTTCATTGCTTTACAAGAGCTGACAGGTATTCCTTAGAAGATTTAGCAAGTGGTCTCCACAAACTTCAACAAGTATCACTTCATGTCTTCACAACATTTCACAGATCTCAACACGACAATGGAAAGATGTGCAAAATGCCTCTAGCCCCCTTCAAGCCGAACAGCGCCTATAAACCCGCTCGAATCGTAACAAATGAGGACGCTGGGTATTGTTTAAAATAAAGTAAATGGAAATAGTGTTGAATAAACTAACCATATATTGTGGATCGCTGGCATCCTGTGGTGTAAATCCTCCAACCATACCAGCCATGCCTACCGAAACAGTACAAATGAGCAGGAGGCCAAGGCCAACGAACGCGGATGGCATGATGTTGACTGAAAGCACGCCCAGATAAGTATCGATCGGCGGTCAGATGACAAACACCGTCAACACGCCGACGGATGACTCATTGACGCAAAGCATCAGAGATCAGAGAAGCCGCTGGGGGGGGGGGGTCTCTGGCTTTAGCCAATCAGAATCATAATACAAGCACTGACCTACGATTTTATCATAAACAACTTGCTTTATCGAGTTTTAGTGAAAGAAGTATGGTTGTGGGTGAAAAACGAAGAAATGTAGGTGTGGGTGTAATTTGGCGGCGCATCTTAGTGCACCGCACCCACTACACTTAAAATCACAACAAGCTTCTTCATTTCATTAACGGGTTCAGAAAAGTAGTGTCCAAGTGCGACTGTCGATAAATCTTGGCATGGTCCTCAGTATTGACAGTAGATTGATTTAGCTCCAACCAAGACCAAGATCTACGGGGTCGATCCCCCGTGGTCCGTTGCGGCGGGGTCGGGGGTTGGTACAGTAATCAATAGTATGAGGGTAGACGGGTTTTGCAGTGCGGGTGGCCTGGAGTGACCTTTGGAGGAGTTTGATCTACACGATCGACCCTCGGGAGGTCCCTCAGGAAAGTGACCTGGAGGCCTACCTATTTAAGCCGCTTTACCAGTAGATCGGGGTAACAGGTGGACCTCATTGGTCGACTTCCTAAAAGGTTAGTCCATATTGTTCTCGGTCGACGTCATCACACGTAGTGATTACGACCCCTTTTGAGACTTTTTTCATGGTAAAGGGTTGGAAGAGTAGGATGCGAAAATGTCTTCTTGAACTTTCCAGGCTTTGAAAGCAGCACGGCGCGAAACGTCAGCCGAATAAAGTTTTCATAACAATCTTGGTTAGAGCTCAATCTACTGTCTGTACTGGGTTCAGAAAAGTTTCTTGGCATAGTTCGGCTTTGAGGGGCATCAAGTGTGAAGTCACCTTGCAGGCTTCACTGTCCTGTCATTTGAAGTCCTGTTAAGCCTTGTAATCAGATAGGCTCGTTTGTACCTTTGCAGGCTTTAGACAAGTGTTTTAACGCTATAGTTATCATGAAACCAGTTATGGAAGAACTACAAGTGTGAGAAGTCCCTCGCCGAGAAGCTAAACATACAAAGTGTTTTCGCCATGTAGAAGGGGCTCGACGGGATGGGTTTAAGGTTGGACATCGAGAAGCTCTCGCTCCTGAGAACGGCACCGCCCCCCTTCTCCCCGGGAAAAGGCAAATCAGTATTTCTTGGTTCCCAACCGCTTCTGTGCACTTTCCAATGCCGAATGTTTGATGACGAATGCCGCCCATAATAATAAAAAAGAATAAACGGCGTGCAAATGATTATCACAGCTCTAAAAAGACTCCCTCTGCAAAATTGCCTATCGAAAAAAAAAAACTACCGTAACGTCACGAACCATTGCACCAAATAGACAGGTAACACCAAATTAAAGCCAGAACGAAAGAGGTCTATTCTGGACTTCTCTCTGCATTCCTCTGTGCTAAATTTCGCCTAATTAGGTCACAGAACAAGGTGACGACACGCACAAGTTGGCACTGCAGGGAACACAGGGGTTATACCAGTAGGTAAGCAAGGTTAGTGAGAGATACGGTAGAGAAGGTGGGGATTTTACCTGAGCCTGGCGGAAAGAAGTGCCAAGGTGGGTTGTGCGATTCTCCTCTCGTAATTTTGATCTCTCTCACCACAATGCCCCTTATGGGAATATTTCTAGACACAGAACTATTGGAATGTCGTCAAGCGAAATGAAGAATACAGAGTTACGAAAATCTAAACATTTAAAGAAGGATTCAAAGTGGAAGAAATCAGTTGGTAGAATCACAGGACAAAGTGTAGCGCTTTAGTGCACAGAGGCAGTGAGGTCCTGAATGTTTTCACCTTTCAATCGCGTTCCGAGCCTGCACCAAGTGTTTTGATAGATCCGGGCCAACTGAACCGCAGCACGCACGAATTATCACGACATGCGAATATGAAACTCATGCGTAGAAAACCAAACAACCCCGGGAGGTCACGAAGGGTAAAAAATGCCGAGCTGTCACTCCGTTAAAGGCACGGTCCGCGATAAAAGCCTAGGTGATGTTGCAGAAATGTGGAAGAAAATTCGCCAAGTGAACCATCTATGAAGAGAAAATGCCAAAGGGAACGTTGGAAACGCATTCGTCAGGCCTCCTCTAGCCTCAAACAACTGTAGAGGTAAAAGACCGAAAAGACCGCGCGCTGGGACAATTCCCGTCGGCTGATTCCCAGTAATGAACTATGACTCTACAAGAGACATTGAATGCATCCACTCCATGATACTTGCCCGGGAGCATTACTTTTGGCTGGAAGGCCGACTTTGGAGGCGGAGTCTGGAGGCGGAGTCACTGGAAAAAGGGATGTACCACTGAAGCAACTTTGCGCCTTAATCCCTTTACCGTACAACTTTCCGCCGCGAAACTGGCACAGGGTTGTCCACTCCGGACCGCACTACCCTTTTGCTCCACTCCATAAGCACACTACACATTCCCTCATAACTTCTGCATTTTCATATGTCATCCGCGCACCGCTCCTTAA